TTGAGTTTCAAGCCAACTTTTGCACTCTCCTCCTTCACCCGCATCAAGAGGCTCTTTAGTTCCTCTTCACTTTCTGCCATGAGAGTGGTATCATCTGCATACCTGAGGTTGTTGATATTACTCCCAGCAATCTTAATTCCAACTGGTGATTCATTGAGGCCCGCCTTTCTCATGATGTGTTCTGCATATAAGTTAAATAGGCAGAGTGACAGTATACAGCCTTGCTGAACTCCTTTCTCAATTTTGAACCAATCAGTGGTTCCATGTCCAGTTCTCACTGTTGCTTCTTGACCTGCATATAGGCTTCTTAAGAGACAAATAAGATGGTCAGGTTCTCCCATCTCTTTAAGAACTTGCCACAATTTGTTGTGATCCACACAATCAAAGGCTTTAGCATAGTCAATGAAGCAGAAGTAGATGTTTTTCTGGAACTCCCTAGCTTTCTCCATGATCCAGTGTATATTGGCAATTTGATCTCTAGTTCCTCTCCCTCTTCGAAATCCTGCCTGCAGTTCTGGTAGTTCTCGGTCCACATACTGCTGGAGCCTAGCTTGTAGGATTCTGAGCATAACTTTGCGAGCATGTGATACCTTTTGGGTAGACTAAATTCTTTTCCTCCCTTTGCAATTTACTGCACATCACTAATATGAATTCTAAAATATCACTGATAGAGCTACCAGGTTTCCATGTATAAAATTTCTTGCAATAAAGATCTGCAAAGCTTTTAATACTCACCTTGTTTTATATGCTGCCTCAAAAAAGGAAAATTAAATTTCAATATAACACAGACATACACACCTATGTCATTATATCACACTCAAAAAGACAATATGTGCATATTTTCTGAAAGTCTCATGCCTCACTCCACAAATCCTACTTGTGGAATTTTGTAGATGCCCAAGATATCTGCCATATCAAGGGAGGTTTGAGAGTATTGTGCTCCAATAACTGCCATCAAGAGGTTCTGAAGACAGCACTTGTAATTGGGGATAAATCTCTTCCAGTTGTCAAAAAGCTCCATGGTGGCATGATAGGTCCATCTTCCACCATAACTGTCATAGACGATGGAACCCAGGGTGACATTTGGCAATATCTGCTGGTTTTCATTGATTTCCTTCACAGCAAATATCAAGGCCAAGATGTGTTGGTAGTTCTTAGTCAGGAAGCTGCCATGAGAATTAAATGTTGCACCAATATATATTATTTTATTTAGTATTGACAACATTTCTACCCTCTTTTTACCCAAAATGGGTCTCAAGACAGCTCACGAACCAGTAACAAAAAATTAAAATACAATGTAAGAATATATACTAAAATGCCAATCTAAAATAAAATAAACCCTAAAATTCTGGGGAAATAAAAAGCATTTGGCCTGCTGCCAAAAGCAATAAAATGTCAGCACCAGGCACATCTCTTTGAAAAGCAGATTCCAGAGCCTGCAGGCTATTATAGGAATTACATATTGCTCTCGCAAAATCATTGCAGCTAAGTAGGAATCCTTCAATGAACCTGTATTTTAACATGGCTCAGTGAATTTAAATGTAGTTTAGGGTTGAAACTTGAGTCAATGCGTTAGAATAGTTTTATCTGGAAGTTAACTTTTCTGAACAAGGAGGATTACAGCTATCATATGCAGAAGAGGACAAGGGACGATGCCAAGGACTATTGTCTCTGTGCTCCTCTGATTTTGCAAAGCAGCTGGATGGACATTTCCACCTGCCTAGCTGTGCTGTTTAGAGGGGAGGAAAGGCCTCTGAGATGTCACTAGGAAAAAGTTTATCCTTGTGGCTCCAGTCCCCGCCTCTCCTCAATGCTGAAACACTCTCTAAGACCCTTCTCAAGTATCACTCTTTGACACTGGATATAGAATTCTGAAAATTTCTATTGTCTTCTAGATGCCTTCCAAGGTACATGGGATTTTGGTATTAATTAATTAGTGTTGGGTTTAAATATCATGAAGAAGCAGAGAAGGCATTTTCAGAGGGGGATTTGTACAAATTTGTTTTGTGACTTTCTGATGTATGTATATGTGTGGATCTGTATTTGTTTGAGATTTTCTAAATAGATATGAGGACATGGTGAACACAATACATGATGCATTTTAAGGAGGCAAAAACAGGGACACACAGTTGGGCAAGGATATAATTCCTATAGTAGTATGTTTTTAATTGCAGGTATTCTTAGCTACATGCTAGATTCCATGTTAGTCTTGAATAGCAAAATTACATGGCATCTGTTGTGCTATATGTACTGACACATATAGTATTGTACACACGGATAGCTAAGCCATCAAGATTTAGCTATGTTATTTGTACAAGTGTGCTAAAATTTCTAAATATGCCTTTTGCATCTAATAATTCTATGACTAAGATTCAAGCCATTTCTACTTCTTCCCTTCCTTAAAATATCAGCATTACTAATATGATATTTAATTAATAGGAACTCCTTTTAGTGCATGGTATGACTGGAAAAGTGTTTGAGAAGAATATGGAACAGGTAATAACAAAGGAAAAATGAGGATTTTAATAGAAAGACCACACTGACTACTATTGAAATACTGTTTTATATAGAATTCCTCAAGAAAACAACATTTTAATGCTCTTTTAAGACTTGGGAATCAGTATAGTTGATTTTAATATGTAGAACTGGATTATTTAAAATTAGATTCTGGATCAATGTATAAGAAGTAAAGGTAACTTACAGGGGTTCATCAATAACTGAATGATATGGGTGTTCATTGAATCTCTCTGGGTCTCTCGGCATGAAGACAAGAGAAGTTACACCCCCAATGATGAGGTCACCAGGTTGAACATATCTGTGAAGAATAGGCAGAGGATCACCAACACTACACTGTTTAATATGAGACATGCATGCCATGAAAGGCAGCATCAGAAGAATAAACATCAATTTTAATATAGAAAAAGCCATCATATTGCAGATAAATTGAGTTAGAACCATTTGCTTGGTTCCTCTATGATTATTAAAAGTCTTCAAGGATAGACAAGTTTGATCTGAGTATCCATTGACTCCTCACTCTCCTCACATAGACTTGGTGGGAGATTCAACAGCAATCAAAGGACTTCTTCACACAGCATATTGTTAAATGGTGACATTCACTTCCACAAGTTGTAGAGAAAGCCACCAATTTGGATAGATTTAAAGGGGGATTAGGTACTTTCATGGAGAACAAGGCTATCAGTTTCTACAGTCGCTATGATTTGCTGCTACATCCAGGATCAGGGCAGTATGAATTTATGTACCAATTGCTGAGCAACATGGGAGGGAGGGTCCCATTGCACTCATGAGCCATTTGTTTATTTCCTGTTATGTCTACCCCCAAGAAACAGAATTAATCATAAACATTTTGATAATTGCATAAGGAAAGAGGTTTTAATTTCTCTGTGTCATTGTGAAAATGCACACTTCTAATCAATACTAGTATGTTTTAACCAAGTAATAGATCAGCAAGTGTTAGGTCAATTTGGATTGCTGCAATGTAAATGAAAAGCATCAATGATGGCAACATGGAAGCTTCTGAGATAAAGGGAGTGTAGGAGAACAGGAAAATATTTTTATTAGTGAAAATACTACATGAGTATGCATATATAGTTGTATGTCTATATATAAATACACACACACGTGCACACACAGTGTTGATATAGAAGTCATCAAGGGAAAAGTTCAACTCATAATGGAAAAGGTTCGTGCTAATTGTGGCTTTTGGTTTATGGCAGTCTGTGCAGTGCAAGTGATGATGCTAATTTTGTTTACTAAGATCCAGGAAATTCTATTCACTGGCTGGAGACCTCCATCTCTGGAATAGGTTCTCCAGAGAGGTACACCTGGTGCCATCGTTCTTACCATTTGAGTGCTAGGCAAAGGCATATCTCTTCTCCAGCTCTTTTAACATTTGATTTTAATAATAATTTTGTTCTTTTTAACATGACCCTGGTTTTTATTATGTATCCACAGTTGCTTGTTTAAGCCTTTTATGTAATTATTTTAATTTGTTTGGGTATGTTTCTGTATTATTGAAGTTTTGTTAATATTTTTAGTTTTGCTGTTTTTAGAATGCTGTTTTAATTGTTGTAAGTGGCACAGGGAGCCCAATCATGGGTTATGGTAGTGGCATATAAATTAAAATAATAAATACATACATGCATATTCTCATCCCAGAAGTCCTGAGATAAACTGGAGTTCTGTTCAAACCACAGATTTCCAGTGTAGTTTTCTGAAAATATCATTGACCATTTCAAAGAAATGAAAGAAACAAAACAGCATAATATCAGACTGGATGTCTCACCGTGATGGGACATCAAATTTGGGAGTTCTCCAAATGAGAATGGGGAACTTCAGTTACCCCTACAGTGACTACATATGTTCAAATCATGAAAAAGAGGAGATGTCTCAGTGCTCCAAATGACTTATGCTGTAGAACAGTTAAAGAAGTAACCAGAGAGGTGGTAATACTGGACTCAATCCTTTGTGGTGTCACCCAGGATCTTATATGAAATGTGACTATTGTCGAAGCAATTAGTAGCAAAGTGTCATCAAAATCCAGCACTATCACATCTAAATTCAGAAGATGCAACTCCTCTGAAATGATGGAAATAGTGAAAGGGAATTTGAAAATGGAGTTGTCAAGAAGGTTAAATCCCTTCAAAATGCTTGAAGGTTACTAGAAGTACAAGGTTCAGTTTTAGAATGCTGGCAACTAGTCCAAGAGGCCAATGGCATAGTTATTATGAAGGCATTAGAGCAGGGGCCCTCAAACTTTTTCAATAGGGGGCCAGTTGAAAGGTGCCAGTGATGGGCATGGGCCACCAAAGCGATGCAGTCAGGGGGTGAATGCTGGGGCCAGGGGAAGGGGGTGCACACGTGCACGTGCAGAAAGGCAGGGGCATGTGTGTGCAGAGATAATTTTCTCCAAGCGAGTCCAAAACATTCTCCCTGTGAGCAAGCTGGCACCTTGGGACTTGCTTGGAGAAAAGGATCTCCCGGCAAGGCGCTGGCTTGCTCGCAAGGAAAGCCTTTTCTCCGAGTAAGTCCAAAACTATCGTCCTCTCGCTTGGAGAAAAGTATCTCCTGAAAAGGCTCTGGCTTGCTCGCAAGGAGATTCTTTTCTCCAAGCAATTCCAAAATGATCTCCTTGCGAGCAAGCTGGCACCTCGCCATGCGCGCAAGCATGTGCACGCACACGTGGTGAGCTATGGCGGGCCAAATGAATGGGCATGGCAGGCCAGATCCAGCCCACAGGCTGTAGGTTGAGGACCCATGCAGTAGAGGAAAGAAATCTCCTAAGACCATGGAGATCTTACTAAATTAGGAAAACAAAAACAAACAAATAAATCTCCTATGCAAAGGAGATGCAAGCAGACAAGAAGAGGAGGAGGTGGTGGTGGTGGTGGAGGATCAAGGCCAACCATGTTAGTCAAATTCTCAGTCTTCCAAATGCAAACGCATAATAGTAGGCTGATAGCAACATATACAGAAAATAACCAAAAGTGCTAGTCTCCATCTTTAAAACAGCACACTGTTTATGGGGCACATAGCATTATAAATTATGCTCCCTTTCAGGAAATGCACAGGCTTGATTACTTGATTAAATTCTAATGATTTTTCTTCCTCTAACAGGAACTAGTGTCGGCTGCCAAGTTAGATGGCTTTAAAAAGGGAGTTGGACAAATCTGTGGAAGAGAAAGCTATCATGGCCACTAGCCATGGGCTACCTCCATTATCCAAAGCCACATATCTGCATATTTATTCATTTAAATCTTTTGTAGACTGTCCCATTACAAAATGTAAGAAAAAATAAATAAAACACAGTGTCCAAAAATTTGCTAATAATAAAACCCCAATTAAAACTGTCAGGTCTTAAAACATAGGGAAAATAAAAAGGTTTTGGCCTGGTGCTGAAAAGAATAATGTGATGATGCCAGGCAACCTCTCTGGGGAGTGAATTCCACAATTGGGGTGCCACCCTCCTAATCTCCTTCAGGGAGGGCACTCAGAGAAGGGTGTCTGCTCCAGATCTTGAGGTGCAGGCAGGCATATATGGAAGGAGATGCTCCTTCAGGTAACCAGGCCCAAAGTCATTTAGGGCTTTAAAAGTCATCATCAGCAATTTAAATTGGGCCCAGGCTTCAACTGGAAACCAGTGTAGGTGAAAAAGGACTGGCATTATATGTTCATACGTGCCGGTCCCTGTTAACAACCTGGCAGTTCTGTTCTGGACCAGTTGAAGTATCTGGACCATCTTCAAGGGCAGCCCCACATACAGCATATTACAGTAGTCCAATCAGGAAGTTACCAGGGCATGGGTCACTGCTGCCAGGCACTGCCCATTCAAATAGGAGCATTGATCAGCCAAAGCTAAAGGAGAGTGCTCTTCACCACCACCACCTGGGATTCCAGGGACAGCTCCAGGTTGAGGAGCACCCCCAAACTGCACACCCTGTCCTTCAGGAGGAGTGCAACCCCGTCCAGAACAGGGTTAGAAGCACCTACCCTGGAGGCTAAACCACATATGCCAGTTGCTTAAGAGCTTGGTCAGGAAATGCTCTTGTACTCCTCCTGCCTGAAAGACCCAAGAGCCATCCACTGGAATTCATCAAGAAGTGTTGACAGAAAGGAATTTCTGTGTATGTGCCTACAAAGATGCTCGTTTCCTAGTCCTTGAAAGTGAAAGGGACTGGCTTTGAATTACATCTTGTCCATATGCCTTTGCGTTATCTGCTTTTGGGCCCTTAATTTGCTTATAATTGACTATGAATATTTAGAATCTCATTGAACTGTTAGGAACAACCAAAAGGAAAGAAAGTCACAGCTGGAATATTTCTATACTGAAATCAGTAATTCTGACTCCAAGCAGACAGAATACTGTTCAGTATTGTGAAAGATCTGATAATGTGTATAAAAACATGTACTTTCTTTTTTCTGCTGTTTGGAGATAGAACAGGAGGCTATTTAAGCCAATTATCTTCTGTTTGATTGCTTTATAGTCTTGTGATAAAAAGCATTCACTTTTGCTGTAGCTCCAGACCAAGGACAGCAGAAATAAATTCCCTTGATCTGGAATTGTATAATACCCTTTGAAAGAATACAAAAGGGAATCAATTGCCCTCCTCCTCCTTCTCTATAATTCCAGAGCAAGTCATTCATTAAATATACTAGAAGAAACCAGTCGTAAACACACAGCAACACCACACTATACTATTGTTTAATTCCTTTTCTTTTGCTGTTCAGTGTTATTTGGATAAATGTTCCATGTTGTTCAGCTATATGAAATGGAACACTTTTGTTCAAATGTAGCAAACAAGCTTTCTTCTAGGATCCCACAAGGAATCCTCAGATTTAAACTTGTAATTTCCCATTTAATTATCATATGCACTGTAGCAATTTTGTCACTTTTCAAAATCCACGGACATGCAATAATATTAAAGCGAACCAGAGAATCGTGGAAGGATGGCATAAATATACACTCTAGAAAGCATTAAAGCAGGCTGGGGCAAAGAGTAGGCAGGGACTGACCACTATATGTGAGATCATGGATTCTGAGGTCCAGGCATATCAGTAGGCTAAAACATAAACAGAGCAATCCAGATCAGGTCATTTTAGTTTCAGTGTTAAATGGAAATGTGGAATTTCTGGACAGAGGGAAGATTTGTAATGCATATGAGGGTGTTACTGGGTTTTTTGCTAGCTTTATTTTATCAGACAAAATGCAAATCTCCCATTGTTAAATGCAATGATTGTTCTGCCTCCCCTCCCCTCCACAAGTATCATCAGCAGGGAGAGCTCATCATTGGTGGAATCGTTTCTCACAGTTTTATCATTTCCAGTGCCATCCGTTTTACTGAGGAACCCCCACCTATGCTCTCTGATGAAATTAAGTAAGGCACAAACTCTGTATTTACTTATGCACACCACTTTCCAGGGCATCACCAGAGTGCATAACTCAATAACTATAAACATGTAACAATAAAAGTTCATTAAACCAATCAGTGGTTATACATTTTCATAACTTATGTTGCCACTGGAGTGATTTGTGTCAGAGGCTGAAAACTGAGCTCAATGTCCTATTAGATTTGGCGGTAAAAAAAAAAAAAATGAAATTAAAGAGAACAGTAAAGATTAACACATTTATTCTTATACAAGTAATTCTGGCCAAGGTCCACTTGATTTGGAAATTAGACAGGAAAGGGATGGGGCATATGAGGACTGTACTCTGTATCTTCAGAGGTAGAAAAAAATGTTAACAGCAGCCATGGACCACTGATTTTGGAATGAGACCATAGCAATGGGAAATAGCTTAGTGCTTTACCTCACACTGTTTACCTCTTCTGCAGTGGGGTTGCCAATTTCCCTGCATAATAAAACTTTCAGGAACAATAGAGGTGTCTATTGCAGTGCAGGGCAAAGGAATTAACCACTTCCTCCCAGTGGCCAAAGATAATGCTAAATGAAGGGATTTTTAAATAACTCACCAAAGTCTGTCTAATACCAACTTGGAGAGTTAAAGGATATCTCAAAAATAAGGCAAGCTTAAAGAAGCTCCAAAACTCTTTGCTGAAATTTTATCTAAGTGGAGGGAGAATAAATAAATTGTAACTGCAAAATGCAGAGATGGGAGTAAAGGGCCAAAATTGTCATGAAATTCCTCTAGTTCCCCACCCTCCTCATTTGAGTAAGAAGATAAGATGATTTCGGGGCACACACTGGGATAGATTGAAGATTTGAATTCTCTTTCCAACCTCTTTAACAACTCATGCTTACTCTATATTTATTGCCTCTCAACTGCTCCCTTGTTTTGACTTCCTTTCATTTCTCGCTCTCTTTCTTGCTCTAAATTCTGTATGATTTTTTATTTCATAATGCAAAAATGTCAGAGTGCAGCAGGGGTACAAAAACACTGGCATTAAATGTAGGAATCTTTTATCTGCATGACCTTTTTGTACCTTTTAGCTGCTGAATCTTAATATGATTTGATTTCAAATACAGCAGATTTTACTTGCTTCACCTGATTTAAATTGAGTTCCTGCTCACTATGAAGAGCCCCTGTGCCAGAACAAGAGCTTATGTTGTAGTTTGCTTTCTGTAGCAGCATACCAGATATCCAAGGAAAATCACTAGAGTGGCATGCGGGCAACAGGCTTTCTTCACTATCAGACTCCAGCAACTAGTATTGCAACCGTTGCTACTTCTGATCCTGCAGACAGCGCATGATTACCTTGATTAGTTGTCCTTGCTCCTCTATGCATTTATGTAGTCTCATTCTAAAGCCATGTAACTTGGTGGCCATTATCTTACCACTTGCTACAGAATCCCATAGTTCAGCTATGGATCACGGTTAATTGCATCTTCCTTTTGTCTCACTGGAGAGACAAAGTCAGATACACTGAATAATCCCAGTTCCATAAGAGTATATTTTCCCTCTGCTTTCTGATGTTAAAAACCCTCTACTTTGTCACCCTTTACCCTACTTTCATTATTTTCTATACTTCAAATAAGGTATGTGGGTTGGTCAATTGCCCCAGTACTGAATAAGGAATTCCTGATACTGCATGTCTATGTGATTGACTGAAATATTGTTGTCTAAAGTTTCAGCACCAAATGCTTCAGTTTATCATGCTCTGCTCAGTATGCTTACTTTTGAAAGCAGCATTTTTTAAAAAAATGTTTTAGCTGTTTAGTTATCTAACCTTTTGTGTAGAATGCATCACATTAAATGTTGATATAAATATTGCAATAAATTATAGGAGTAAGGGTGAAGCAAAAGAAGCTTTTTGAAAGTAGAAAGGATCTTTCTGATGCAGATTGCAATTGTTGTTCTAGAGTGGTGCCCAATCATTATCAGCACATCTTGGCCTTTGCATTTGCTGTCAAGGAGATCAATGAAAACCCTCAGATCTTGCCCAATCTCACCTTGGGCTTCCACATCTATGACAGCTATTTCAATGCACAGCAAACCTATCATGGCACAATGCTGCTCTTGTTCACAATGGAAAGCTTTGTCCCCAACTACACATGTGACACGGAGAAAAACCTGATGGCAATTATTGGGGGACTGGACCCTGAAACCTCACTTCACATGGCAACTGTCTTGGATACTTATAAGATTCCACAGGTGGGATTCCCTTTATTTCTGTCTCTGTGCACTATGGGTGTTTCACACTTCCAGATCAGAGCTTTTAAATTGCATTTAGAAATGTGTGCATTTCACATCATCAGATGGGCCATCTATTTTGCATGGATTCAGACTAAGAAGTAGAGCTTTAATGGTCCATTAAAGAATGAGGAGTGTTTGGGGGACTTCGTTGTGATCTTGTGCCCACCAGCAGGGATGGAGATGTCCAGGAACAGAGCAGGAGAAGAAGGCAGGAAACAATGGCTTTTTTCTATCACTTAAAAGTGACAAGGCAGAGAACCAAGCAGAATCCTCTTTCTGACAACTCATGCTGTCTGAAATGCCATGACTAAGCCTGCATTTTCAAGAGAAGTTGGAAGGTAGGAATAGCTGCCACCAACAAATGGCATTGGTTCCATGACTGCTGCTCAAACACCCAGGGCATGGAGTGGATCCTGTGCTCCTTTTTTCTGAGCCTCACACATAATTCAACTTGATCTCCAAGCATCAAGTTTAAATGCGACAGAAGTTGCGATGTAGGTACTGAGCATAACAGAGGAGACATTCGGTAGTGGCTATTCAAGAGAGCGCTACACAGAGGCATAAGCTGCAGAAGTAGTGGAGATCCTTTTAATGCCCAGACTTAGCAGCCAGGCCCACACCAGCCCTGCCACAAGTTCCCTCACTGCCTGACTGAGGAGGTGACACCCACCATGCCTGCACCCTTTCCTGCTGTTCCCTACCTATGTCCCAGTCCATGCCGCACTGCACCACTTTCCTAGAAGAGGATCTGCTGCTTCTGGCTGCCTGGCTCTCCATAGAGGTGACACAGCAGTGAGAAAAAGTGGGGTGGGGGTATGCCTAGAGAAACAGAGCAGGCCCCTCTCTGTCCCACAGTGTGCGCTAACCACTGCCAGTTGTTTCAAATACCATGGGGGAAGATTGGGTGGTGGGGTTCTTCTGAGCACCCAGTAGAGTTGGGGGCAGTGGTAAAAGAGGGGTGAATTTCTTGCTCTTCCATCCTTGGCTACCTGATGTGGGTATCTCATGGGCCAATTCCAAGCCGCAGTGTAGAACAGCATGACTTAAAGTCAGAAAGCTGGTATGCAGGTACATGGGGACAGAAAGAGCTATAATTGTGTGGTTTTTGTTTAAACAGTGGGCAGACAACCATGTAGAGGTTTCCTCATAGAGTCACTTTTTGTACATAACACATTCTGGTTTTCTGAGGAGACAATAATGAGTGTGCCAAGTAGGGATTCATAAAAAGTAGTTTCAGTTCATTTCTGGTCGGGATTTGTCCCATGAACTACTTGTAAATATAGACTTAAATTCAATGTACTGTCAAAATCTGTACATATTGGAGTATTCAATGGCATGTACACATTTGAAAAAAGGACATGAAATGTGTACTTTTGAAAAATGCTCATAAGCACACTTTCATCAATGGGAGAAGATGCCTAAATCTCAAAGATGTGTGCCATTGATGTGTATATTTGAATAATTCAAGCAAAAGTGCATACTGTTCTTTTGAGACTAGAACAAGACCCACAATCTTGAAGTGGAATATGCTTCAAGAGGGAAATTGGGGGATTCTGATTTTCCTTGCACACACAACACTTGTGCTAGAGCAAAAAAGGTTGGTCAGTCGCCTCAAGCATGGAGGGCCTTCCATCCTGACTGCACTTGATGCTTGTTCTGCGGTGGGTTTCTTGGAGAAGGGGGTCTGACTCTGCACTTGATTCATGTGAGTAACCATGGCATGAAAGGAGACTGTATGACCTCATTTATTTTAGCTACCTTTCCAGACAAAGTCCTCTCGCATAACTAGACCATTATGAAAATATTTATAGCTGCAACACAATAAAGCTAAGCAGCACAAATTTTAAATAAAGGAAAAAACCCAGTCAGAATAAAATAGTTATAACAAACGTTAGCCATATAGTACTAAACCCATAGCATATCCAGGAGAATTCATTAAACTTGACTTGGAATAGATATACCTTCAAAACATGTTTGAGTACTGACCATATCCCTTCATTCTGGTCTGCTCACTAACTATTTAAAGGGACCAACTGACCAATAATTGGGAGGTGGTTCCACAGAGCGGGGCTTGCAACTGAGAAGGCCTTGCCACTAGTGTCTAGTACATGGTTCTCAAGTCACAGGCATGTTTATTCAAGCACAAAAGGTCCTTTGAATAATCTGGTCCCCAAATGGTTAGGACCAGGATACACAAACAGCCCAGAGAGTACATGCAGCCCTCAAGGGCTTTTCTGTGTTTCCAGGGAGCCTTGTCCACACCATCACCACAAATTCCCCACCACTTGCACTTGCCACTCCTAACTCCCAGAGATCCTCACATAGTTCAGTCTTTCCCTAGTACTGCTAACAAGAGCAACCTGGGTCAGGATCATTGGGAAAGATGTCACAAAGAAGGCCCTTTACTTTGTGTGCTCATACAGATAACGGGGATGTGTGTTTGAATCCATGCACATGTGTGTGAATTTGCATGGTAACCTCCAGGCTCTGGCTGGCTTTCTTTCACCCCTGATTTGGCACTGAACAAGCTGGTACTGCATGGGTGTCCACCAGGAATTGAATCCAAAGGCCTGCTGCACTAGCAGTGTCCCTCTTCTGCACATGTGGCTTGTGGTCTTTGACTGTGCGCCTCTTGTGCTGCAGAAGGTTGTATAGAGCTCAGGGTGGCATACCTGTTGGAGTTGTTACTCATGACACTATGCTCACAGTTGCAGACCCTTGTTCACTGCATGAATAGTATAGGCCATTCAGCTTCCAGAGTGAATGGACTGAGAACATACACCAGTTATATTTGAAGTACTTTAGATGCTTAAAATTGATTCATCGTACTTTAATAACTTCTGCCTTTTTCTCTTCTATTCCATACCTCTCTCCAGCTCATATATGGCCCTGCTCCAGTGACAAATGACAAAAACCCAGGTCTTTCCTTCTACCAGATGGTCCCTAAAGAAATGGTTCAGTATGCAGGGATTCGCTCTTTGCTCCTGCATTTTAGATGGACATGGATTGGGGTCATTGTTATGGACACTGACACGGGAGAAAGATTTGTGCAAACTGCACTCCCTTTCTTTTCTCGGAGTGGGATCTGTTTTGCCTTCATAGAAAAAAGCCGCACACTAACTTTTGTTGACAAAATTGAAGACATTCTGGAGCAGGGAGTGAAAATCTATGCTAAAGTATTGAACAGCAGAGCTAATGTTTTCATGGCATATGGAGAATCGTATAGTGTTGCATTTCTGAGATGGCTGCCAAGTCTATCAGAAGCAGAACAAGAGTCAAATATGTCAAAAGGTAATGTGTGGATAATGACTGCCCAAATGGAATTCACATCATTTGTCTATCAAAGGTCATTGGATATAGAAATAACCCATGGGGCTCTGTCATTCTCCACGCATTCTAATGATCTGCCAGAATTTCAACAGTTTATTAAGAGGAGAAACCCTTCAAATACAATGGGGGATGGTTTCATCAGTTTCTTCTGGCAACAGGCCTTCAGTTGTGCATTGCCAAATCAAGGTGTGCATGACATTGGGGGTGATCTCTGCACTGGGGAAGAGAAGCTGGAGAACCTTCCTGGGACTTTTTTTGAAATGAGTATGAATGGTCACAGCTACAGCATCTACAATGCCGTCCATGCAGTGGCCCATGCTTTGCATGCCATGTCTTCATCTAGATGCAGACACAGGAAAATTGGCAATGGACAAGGACTGCAACCTCTGAATCAAGAGCAGTGGCAGGTAATTCATTGAACATTCCCACTAACAGTACTTTATCTACCTTTTCTGTCTTGACTTTCAGTCATATCAACTTTTCACCTGAGGTTTTAGCAATGTTTTTGGATCCAGAAATCCATTCCAGTCATTTCTGCATCAATGCAGGGACTGTCTTATCATTAACCTTTGTATACAGCAGTGGGAAGGGTTTTTTTGATTGAAGAGCAGATATAAAATACTTTAAATAAAGTTTACAGGTGTGCCTTTAAAGAGGTTGTTCAAACAGACTGGAAATATGATAATGGGAAAATGGGGCTCTAAAGGATTTTGAACAGAATTTCAATTTGACTGACTCAAGCGTCAAATATCTAAGTCATGCTCAAAGGAAACTTTTCCTAAATTAAAGTAAGAAAAGTCAGCAATTTTCAAGCTTGACATATTTTTTTTCAAACACTTCAGCCTGTTCCCATTACTACTTTTGCCCTATAGGGGTTGGCCTATTTGAATGAAAACCATGTTCATTTCCACTGAGAAATTTCCACTGTGTTTCCTGGCATATTTTTCAAAATCAGGTTGCTTCCTGTTTTGACTAAAAATTAAATGCACATTTTGGAAAAATGCTTTTTAAATTGCCTGTCTATCTATACATGCATTTTTCATATATGATCACCAGTTTGTGAATTCGCAACATTTCCTGAAAATGAATTGTTGATGTGTTCACTTACAGGGCTGCTAATAGAATATGTTAGCATGATTTGTGAGTAAAAACTTGCTTGTTTGCTTGTAAATGCCTATTCTAAGTGCTTGTCTTTTCCTTTTCCATTTAGCTTCATCAGTTTCTGAGAGACATTTCATTTAACAACAGTGCTGGGGATGAGGTTTCCTTTGACCAGAATAGGGAGTTGGAAGCTGGATTTGATGTGATCAATTGGATTGTTTCTTCAAACCTCTCCTTTCATAAAGTGAAAGTAGGCATGCTGAATCCCCAAGATCCTTTGGGGCAAACATTCACCATCAATGATAATGCCATAACATGGCACAGCTGGTTTAATCAGGTGGGATCCCATTCCAGGAAGTATGGGAAGACTATCCATTTCTAAAAAGCAATGTGTGTCAGTTCAAATGTGAAAAGTTAATTTCAATGAACATTAGAGAGCACCCAGCATGACTTAATATAGCTCCATATTATTCCATCGTGATCCCTGTGATGCTAATTCTGGTCTTGATCCAGATTTGGTGCCCAATTGAAGTAAAGCCCAATTTTGAACTCAATGGTTGATGTTTACTTCTATAAAAGATCAGGGAATAATGAAAATGCTGGCCCAATAAACTGCAGAATGTTACAGCATTCTGGATGTGGCTTGGAGTGTAAATGACCCCAAGGTCAGGTAAATAGTAACATTGAATTTGTCTCAGGAAATCAATTCATTAATATAGAAGGAGAAATAACAAAAGTAATGAATGAATGAATGAATGAATGAATGAATGAATGAATGAAATACTATAGAATAAAATAAATGATTTGCTACATTGTTTCATAATTTCCAACAGTATTATCAAAGCATGAAAGAATGAAATAGCATCACCTTGGCTACAAAATGACCCATAAACTTAAGAATTCTGGCTTTGTTAGTCATAAGAAAAACTTGGCCTTCTTACATTATGATTTAGGTTCCACCTATTTCCATTTGTACTGAGAGTTGCCACCCTGGTTCTAGCAAGAAAATGAAGGAGGGAGAGCCATTTTGCTGCTATGATTGCATTCCATGCCCAGAAGGGAAGATTTCAAAAGAAAAGGGTAAGAAATTTATTGCAAAGAGTTATAAAACTGATTGCCAATAATGAAATGGAAATGTATGTAAAAACATGCAGACTTCCTTTCTGCAGTGTTCAAACCATCGCAAAAGGATTGCACAGCAATGGGATTGTTAGGAATTGGATGTAAAGAAAAAAGTATACTCAGATATAGCTTTCTATTATACATTTTAGCTTCCATGGCTTATTGTAATTACTCAATGTTTGATGGTTTCTTGATTGTAGGATAAAATTCCTGAAAGGAAAGTCATTGAACAAGTGTGATTTAAAACAAAAGGTTGCAGTTTATGCTTCCTTCTACAGTGAGTGGAGTCAAGATCCGAAGTGCTGCAAGTACTTTAATTCTCAAAGTACAAACCGTATAGATCACAACCACCTGTCTTTCACCAGTTTTGAACAGTTTGCTGACAAACTACCCAGAAAACTTCTGCAATAGAAGTAGTGAAGCACTGCTTCTTGACCTCCACAGAGTAGACTTACATGTTGATCAATACTATCAAAGAGATTTATACAATGTTTTTGAGATAAAACCCACCTGTTTTCTTCTTTAGACATGAATGACTGTAATGCATGTGTAGATGAAGAGTACCCAAACAAAAACCAAGATTTATGCATCCCAAAGGATATAACATTCTTGTCTTATGAAGAACCACTGGGGCTCTGTTTAGCTTGTCTCACCCTTTCATGCTTTTTGACTGCAGTGCTGACGTTGGGAACATTTCTGAAACACCACAACACTCCCATTGTCAAAGCAAACAACCGGGACCTCACCTACGCTCTCCTCATCTCCCTCCAGCTTTGCTTCCTTTGTGTTTTTCTATTCATTGGCCACCCTGAAAAGGTGACCTGCATACTCCAGCAAACAGCTTTTGGCATCATCTTCGCAGTGGCTGTTTCTTGTGTGCTGGCAAAAACTATTATGGTGGTTCTGGCTTTCATGGCTACTAAACCAGCTTCTCAGATGAGGAACTGGATGGGAAGAAAATCGGCAATGTATGTTGTTCTTTCCTGTTCTCTTATTCAAGCAGGAATTTGTACCATGTGGCTGTCAGCTTCTCCCCCATTCCCAGACTTTGACATGTACTCATTCAATGAAGAAATTGTCCTGCGATGTAATGAGGGATCCACAACCATGTTTTATTGTCTCCTGGGCTACCTTGGCTTCCTGGCCATCATCAGTTTCACTGTAGCTTTCCTTGCCAGGAAATTGCCTGACAGTTTCAATGAAGCCAAGTTCATCACATTCAGCATGTTGGTCTTCTGCAGTGTTTGGTTGTCCTTTATCCCATCCTATCTGAGCTCCAAGGGAAAATACATGGTGGCTGTGGAGATATTTTCAATCTTAGCCTCCAGTGCTGGGCTTCTGGGTTGCATCTTTTCCCCCAAATGTTACATTATTTTGTTGAGGTCTGAGCTGAATAACAGGGAACATTTAATAAGAAGTAAACAGATTTAAGAGGGATGTTAGTGTTAGTGTATATTTAAGTTTCAGTGTATATATTGCAAACTATAGTTTGTTATCCAGAGTTATTATTTACTCTGGAATGTATATTGTATTCTGCTCATTTTATCAAAGGGACTGTAATTAGTTTTGATAGTTGTAAAAATCTCCCATGAATTTTCAGTGGCCACTACAAAAGTGGGGTGAAGGATGTCATAAATATACCCAGTAAACATCAGAGCTTGGGTTAGGACTAGGGGCAGGAAAGGGTTCAATATTTGATCACTGATATTGTGAACTGCTCCCATTATACTAATTGGGACCTTTGGGATACTACTGCAAATAGGAATGGAAGGATCTGCATATAAAGTCAAACATTAGCTTCAATATGCTTGGCCTTCCTGGTTTTGTCCCTGCTTCCATTTCCCAGGAAGGCCAAGTATGTTGAGTGGGCGTATGTGGGCAAAATAGAGGCTGAGATACTCACCTGGGTAGGAAGCTTGTCACAAAAAGGGAGAGGTATCACTGCAGACACTGCTCAAAGGAGATAGAAGTAGGAATGGCAAAGACAGTGTGACTGTCATGAAAAAAGGATGGATGAAAAGGCATTATATTTGCTAATTTTCCTGTTCTTTGGTCTACTAAAGCTCACAAACATCCCAAATGAGTGGATGCTTATTTGTTATTCATAATGCTTTATGGAAACATGCTACGTAGACTCCAAGAATTTTCACTGTCAATGTATTTCTTAAGAGTCATACTATTGTGCTTTATGGCAGAATGCTTCATGGATGTTCACCTTACTACAATGGGCAATGTTTTATTCAGTAAATCTGATGGTTCTCAGACAGAGCTGGTGCTGCTTTGATTATCACAAGGCTGTGACCATATAAGTAAAATGTTTTCTCACCTGGTAGTGATATTCTATGTTTGGTGCTGGATTTTTCAGACAGCAGTAACAATAAATCCCTTTTAAGTAAAATTTGAGATGCATCTGAGTATTTTCTCCTTTCTGTAACAAACTATTAATGTTGCCAAAATCAGGATTTATTGCTTCATGGAACCCTGGGATGAATAAATCCCAGTGTATGGCTAGAAGAGGGCAAAATTAGTGGCTAAAATGCCTGTATTGGGCCATATAGAAGAGCTTGATATGAATGAGCCAATTCTTTGAGCTATTCATCTATTGCACACAGTTGTCCAAAATTTATAGCAAATCCCTCCTACTGATGAATTGGACTAAACAAAATCCTACACAATCACATGTGACAGTTTGGTTGTTTTTATGACCCTTCAAGACATCTCTATCATATAGTGAATCGTTTTGCATTTTTAGAAGGTCCTGAACTACTCAAAACTGTATGAGCATCAGGTTCTAATACTAGATGGTAATGGTTTGCACAAACATATGTTTGCACAATCACCTCCTATTCATGCACAAATATGGCATAAGATTTCAGAAATTACACAAAGTAGTCTACTTGCAAAATGCACACAGGTGATTTTTTGGGGAGAGGATATGACAAGGCTTTTATTGTGTGATCAATCACCTTGCATCAGTCATCAAAATTTTATGGGGCCCCATAAAATTCCATTTGTACTGTCCACCACTTTCCCCCATCTTCTCTTTCCCCATTCTGACCACATGAAATGCATTAAGAATGGTGAGATGGGATAGCTGTGCACTGTCTTTTGCTTGTTAGTGCTAGGAACTTAGAGGCGTATGCTTTGCAGGTGTCTTAACTTGACAGGGAAAGCTAGAAGTTGTATCCCAACACATTGTGGATTGGTCACAGGTTGGGAAAGGCAACTTTGTGTAACCAGAAAGTCACCTGCATGACCAGAATATACAGACAGTTGACACAAATGGAAACTAATATGTAGAATTAATTAGAATTATTAATTAGAATTAACATGACTAATTGAAATATGCGGGCATGAGTTAGTCTTCACTGTTATTGTAGGGTTTGACAGATCCTTGCAGGTTAAGGACTAGTTCTCACTTCTTCAAGATGTGCATGTATGTAGCCTGAATAAAGAGCTGAATGAACCTCATAAAGGCAGGTGAAGTTCTGGCTCTTTCCTCAGGAAAACAAAAACTACAAATGATTTACCTTAGCCCACTGTGACTGCAAGCTATTCATTCCATTAGATAGAAGTTTGGGTGTTCCTAGTATTTTGAAGGAGATAGCCATCAGAGCCTGAATAAAGGATCTCCCAGCCCAGGGAAATGTATGAGCAGATGTGTAAAGAAGCAGCAGGTTAGCACTTTGGAAGAACAACAGAGAAAGAGCGATCCAGTTTTCATCATCACTATGGCTTAAAGAAACTATGTAAGCCATACAGCAGCAAGTCATGGATTATGGGCAGGTGATTAAACCCTAGCACAGCTCAGTCCAGACTGGTTTGGACAACACATAGTCATGCTGGTATATTCAAAATGACCCAGCATGTATTGCAGCCCTCCTTGGTTTAAAGAACCCAGAATGGCCTCTTTGATTGCAGAACAGATCTCTTCACAGGCATGCTCTCAGGTTAAACTGAAGACTCTTCAACACTGTCGAGTTCATCTTTAAGTAAGCTATCATGAGGTAGGAGCTCTGTTCATTGTACGGAGTAACTGTTCTAATGTGTACATGAACACTGAAGAAGCTGAGCATGATGACAGTGGCCATGTCTGTTCTACCTAGCACACCAAAGAAAATTATTTTCCAGTGTTGCTCGTATAATGAATATTTCTGCACTTTTCTGTGCTCAGAGAGGAAACTATGCCCAGGGCAATAAGGAAATCTATTAGAGACGGCCTTTGTGTTGTCAGAAATGGAGTTCATCCATAGTTTCCCTATCCCCAAATGCACTGCTAGGTGTAACACCTGTCACCAGTGGCCAGGAGCCACTGACAAATTCATTCAGACTGCAAGTTACTTGTATTCCCTTCCTGATCCCCATTTCACACTGCCATGGCTCCTGGCTGGTGGAACATCGTACCATATGCTGAAATGGGATATGTGCTACAAACGTTATAATGGGAAATGATAGTTAACAGTTGACCACTGTGTTCTTCTTGTATCCACTTCCTGAAACATCAGTATCATGTACTGAGTCTAAATTTACTGAGTCTACTTCTGTCTACTTCATGGAAGCACCCTCCCTCATACTGTGGAAAATCATGGCCTGTTCTATGGAGTAAGATGCCATCTAGACCAATGATTTGTGTACTCTAGTGAGGGCAAGAAGACTGTGTGCAAATTGATTTTCCCCTTACACATCTGGCAATACCATATTGTTAAACAACTGAAATATATGGTGAAATACATGCATTTCCTGCCAAGTACCAGACCATCTTTCTTTCAGAGAGTCCTTCATTGACAACCCTTTCCAATTTGTTTCGTTTAGACAAAGAAGATTTCTTCCACAGGGAATCCCCAACTTTAATGCATGGTTGTCTTTCTCCACAATTAGCAAACAAATTATAGGTAGTTTTTTCTGCTTGTCAGGTCCCTGTGGAGTTACAGACTCTAGTAGCTAAACTACAAACACAATTCCTATAAGCTAAACTAGGAATGTAATTTGTGAAGGACAATTTAAAGGTAGCCCATACCATACAGAGGCAGGGCTAGGGAGTGGGGAAAAGGTTACATAAATCTGTTGCTGATACTTCAGGGTTTCTGATATAGGGTTCAGGTCTGCCAGTAGAAAGAGTTAGAATTCAAGCCATCCAGGGGAATCTTGGAAAATTTCTTCATACTGTTGTATATATGTATGTATATCCAGAGGGTTTTTTTTTATTCAGGATGGTATTACGTATCCTATTATTGCTGATTTTGTTTTCTCAGATAGTGCATGCTGCTCATACTGAGCAATGCAGCATCTGCTATCCACACCATCCCATTCATAAATATCATCAGTCAGGAGATGTCATCATCGGAGGCATTGTTTCACAGACATTTATTATCCCCAAGCTGATAAAATTCAATGAAGAACCCCTGCCCACTATGTTTGATGAGTTCAAGTAAGGACTTGATTAGGTTAACATTCTTTGTAGTTCTATTTCTCTTAGCCTTGGTGCAGTAGATCCATAAGTAAGAGAAGCAATATTCTGGAGAAGCTTTCAGTAGGAGAAGCTATATTTTTCATGAATGGCATCATCATGCAAAATATAGGATGAAAATATTTTCCTTTACCTAAATGAGGACAAAAGAAATTATGGATCCACTAACTTAGATTGGGGCTAGGGCAGTGGTAAATGGCGCTTAGCCACTTTCTCTGAATTATCTCCCTCTCTCTGGTCTAATTGGCTTACCCTAGCAAAATTATCCCAAACTTGCAAGCATGGTGAACAAAATGAGTCTGTGTTGGGGGGGGTCTTGCAAGGGAGAGTATATCTTGAGGGATTCCATTGCTCTGCCCTGCTCCTGGCAAGTTCCTTCATCTTTATCTCTTCCAGAGGACTCCAAAGAAGGACAAATGAATCATCACATACAAGAATTCTAGTTATTTGGACACTTACATTTTTAATTGGGCTTATTCATTGACATTATTTTAAATTCCTGTGAAGCAGCATGAGTCAGGTTATGAGTCCATCTAGGCAGGTGCTTTCTTTTTCTAGAAATACCTTTTCAGCCTCTTGAAAACATGTTTTCATCAACCCTGGAGGATGGTGATGCCAATGTTGGCAGGGCTCTGTATCCACTCTCAATTTTACTCTGAACTTTAAAAGTTCTGCAAAAAAGGTTCAGCATCATGATGAAGTTGGGCATGAATACAGTGACCATGTCTGTTCTACCCAGCATACCACCGAAAATTCTAAAATTTGAAGTTGAATGTGAAATCCACAGAAGCTTGAAGTACCCACTGGCACTATTAAGCCACCGGCCTGCACTTATGTCTTATTCATCTGGGATGACTTTAGATTGAATTTCCTAAGCAATGTCAACTTGAGGAACCGAGATCTGTCTCCCACTTCAGTCAACATTTGGTGAAGCCATGGGATATGACCTTCTAGATGGAATTTTAGAAGATAGACCAGGCCAGTGTTCCCAGATCCATCATTTCAGTATTTTGCATCACATTTCAAAGCCACCCTTTTGCCTTTTTTCAAACTTTGTCTTCTAAAGAGAGCCAGTGTGGTGTAGTGGTTAAGAGCATGGGACTGGGACTCAGAGGATCTGGGTTCGAGTCCCTGCTCGGCCATGGAGCCAACTGGGTGACTTTGGGCCAGTCACAGTCTCTCAGCCCAACCTACCTCACAGGGTTGTTGTTGTGGGGATAAGATGGAGGAGGAGAGATAATGTAAGCTGCCTTGAGCCCTTTGTAGGAAAAAGGCAGGATATAAATCGAATAAATAAATAAAAATAAATAAATACGAAGATGTAAGCTATAGAGCCTGTCAAGAATTTTCTTTATGTCTTACCATCCTTGCTCTGTTACTGCAATTATGTTTTAAATACGGAACATTTACTTGCATCTTTTGATTCCCATAATAGTGGTTGTTCCTTTACATTTAAAATGAAATTGTTTCCACTTACTTTGACTTCATGACTTTTCCTCTGCTCTGTTGTTCTGTAAAGTGTCATCTAAATAGAACAAGGTATTTCTGTCTGTTTGATATGAATTTATATAACTGACTGTGTTAAAATACAACTTATAAGTCTGAATCATGTATTCTCTTATACCATGTGTAAAAAAAGCAAAATAAAAGAAAATCGTGTCAGGAAAATGAAGATTTATATTGTTTGACTTTCTGATTCTCAGTATTGGTTACCTTAAAATAGGGCTCCTTCTTGAAATTAGGTATAAATCTGCTCAAATATATAAAGAGTATAATTAACAAAAAATGGAATATAGCTCGATTAACAGATATACCTTTCATTCTAGTGTGGTGATGAGGAATTATCAACATATCCTGGCTTTGGTGTTTGCAGTAAAGGAGATTAACAAAAATGCTCATCTGCTGCCCAATGTCACTTTAGGCTTCAGGATCTATGACAGCTATTACAGCGCACATTGGACATTACATAATGCAATGCGACTTACGTACACACCAGAGAGATTTGTCCCGAATTATATTTGTAGCATCCGGAACATACTCTCTGCAGTCATTGGAGGATTGGACTCACAAACTTCTCTTCATGCAGCAAGCATCTTGGATAGCTACAAGATCCCACAGGTAGCTTATGCGAACAGATGGGCTCCTGGCTCCTTGCTGTCATTGTCCATCTGTGTAATTCTGCCCTCTGTGTAATTGACTGGGTCATCTTAACAAATCGATGGACCAACAAAACCATCCTGTCCTCTTGCACTTTGATCAAGGAGAAAGAATGAGCTGTACTGAATGTTAGCCCACAAAAACTTCTTGGTCTCAGAGAAAATAATGTTCACTTACCTTATGAGGCCTTTCTAAGGATTGCTGTCATCATGCATGCAATGTCCATTCACTAAAGGAAATTCTTACACAAATTGTTGTCTCTTCTTTCTTCTCATTTTCTAGCTCATCTATGGTTCTGCTCCGGTGAGGGATAGTAAAACCCCAGGCCATTTTTTCTACATGTTGACCCCTCAGGAAACTCTTCAGCATGCAGGGATCCTTTCTTTGGTTCTGCATTTCGAATGGATATGGATTGGGGTCATTGTTATGGATGATGAAAATGGAGAAAGAATTGCGCAAGCAGTGCTCCCACTGTTTTCAAGGCATGGCATCTGCTCTGCCTTTCTAGTAAGAATTCAAGATACAAGTGAAGCCAATGAAGCTGTATTCCTCTGGGGAATAAACATTAGTCGTAAAATCATGGAAAGTCAAGCCAATGTAGTAGTGATGTATGGAGAATCTTTTACTGTCCAGTTCTTGTGGTTCTTTCCCTACCTTACAGCACTAGAGGGAAACATGCAAAATAAGCAAAAGGGCAAGGTGTGGATATTGACTGTCCAGATGGAGCCAATTTCATTTCATTATCAAAGGACTTGGGACACAGAAATGCTCCATGGTGCACTTGCTTTCAGCATTCACTCCCGGAATCCTGCAGGATTTGAAACCTTTGTGGAGAGAAGAAACCCTTTCAGTACAACAGAAGATGGTTTTATCAGGGAATTCTGGCAACATGCCTTTGGGTGCACATTCCCAAATGCAGGTGTGAGTGAAAAGGATATTTGTACTGGGCAGGAGAAGCTGAACAGCCTTCCTGGAACTTTCTTTGAAATGGGCACAACTGGTCACAGCTACAGCATCTACAATGCTGTCTATACCGTGGCCCATGCTTTACATGCCATGTCCTCACCTAGACAAAAACTCAGCACAGTAATGGAAAGGTGGGGCCTGCCATTTCCAAAACAGCATTCATGGAAGGTAATGGTTTAACTTAAATGTACCCCTACTAGCACTTTATTCCATCTCTCTGTTCTCACTGCTACACTAGAGATTACCTCTGTATAGCTGTTTTGGACCATAATACGAATGGTCCTAGTCTGTATTCAATCTGCATCACTGATGATTCCCATGATCAGCATCAGGAAGATCTTTGGCCAAATATAATCCCTACCATTGCTTTCTGAGGTACAGAGGACACTTGTGTGTTGAAATTGTTGTGGTATGATGGTTGTAGCTGCAGAATTTATTTTCCTGATTGTAGGATGAAACGCAGTGAGATACAGAAAAATGAGGAGTTTGTAGGGTTGCTGAAAGCGTAGGGAGATTCAGAATGTTTTGCCCACTGAGCACACCACACCGTCTCTCTTCAATGACAGGCTAAATTAAACTTTCCTATACAGCTTACACACCTGTCAGGGTGGTATCCAGAGTTACTCCCTTTTAGTCCCATTGAAATGAGGGACTCTTTCATTGAACTAACAACAAATCAAAACCATCAGATATTTTCCTGAACCTGGAAACCTTAGATCACTAGATCTGCAGATGGTTTGAAGCATTTCAATATGCAGACTGTGTCATATTGGTAATGCCAGTCAAACATCTTCCAGGGATCTTCCAACTTCTGTTTCAGAGGATTTCTGTGTTTCCCATGTATAGTTAATTTCAATTCTGACACGTATTGGCAATATAAAAATGAAAATAAAATAGTCCATGCTGCTGATACTACTATTACTATTTCTACTATTACTATCCCTTGTGAAGAAAGCACACCTAGAAACTACAATTTTAAATCTGGTTCTAGCAAAAAAGAATGCTCCTTCCAACCACAGTAGATACAATGCAGGACGCAATTCCTGTGCATTTTTGCCAAATCATTCATTTTGCTTCTCCTTCTAGCTTCATCATTTTCTGAGAGGCATGTCATTTAACAACAGTGCTGGGGAGACAGTCACCTTTGACCAGAAGGGTGAGTTAGTGGTTGGATTTGACATTATCAACTGGATTTTTTCGGCAAACCGATCTTTGCATAGAGTCAAAATTGGACATATGGATCCAGAGGTTCCCCTAAACCACGCATTCTCCATAAGTGCTGATGCCATAACATGGTGTAGATGGTTTAACCAGGTAAGAGCCAAATGAAGAGAGTTTAAAATTAATTGCATGACTAATTCATGAAAGTACTTCTTTAATGTCCAGAATGCACCATTCTGAAGTGCACATTTTAATTTTTCAAACTACCATCTCAGGCATAGGCATGTGCCAGCTTTAGTTGATGAATGCAATTCCTTTGCATTTTCAGGTTTGAACAAGAGGAAATTTGGGTTTAAAAATGGTTGAAGATGTGCAAATTTGAACATATTTGAGGAGGACACCCTTCCTTTTCCAGGGTTTGCTGAACTAAAATCCTTCCATTGGTGAGGGAACATATTCTCATTTCTGCCATGATCCCCTGAAGGGTTGAACATATTTGAGAGTAATCCTGTACTCCTAGACATCAATTTTGGGGGCATAGGATGATTCAAATTCCCAGTTCTAAGACTGGAAAGAAAGTTCTGGAATCCATGCCCCAACCTCCTCCACACCCTCCCAGCCAGCAAGGAAAGAAAAGCACCAGCTTCCTGGGAAATGGACCTTTCTGAGGCTGGGCAAGGGGCCTTAGCAATGGAGTAAAAAGGGCATTTTAGAGGTGGGGAGAGGAAGAGACTGAGGTTGAAGGGATAGAAGGCATCCTGGTAGTGCTGCAGCCTCCTTTTTGCCCCCTCTCAGGCATCTTTGTCAGGTGGTGAAAAATGGCCATTTAGCTAAGCTGCAGCATGGGGAGCAAGAGATGGACTTCATTACCCCTCCAGCTATCCACTGATTCCTGCTAATATCTATAGTTTGTACCTGTTTTTCCTTCAGTGTGTATAAGAACACAGGTGAGATTCTTGCTCTTTCAATTAAACCTCCATCAAGGAGTTTGCATGTTGCCTGAAATGAGTGGACTGTATTTCAAATAACCCTGAATGTAGGCAGATGCATAATGTGGCATCCTATTTAACACACAAGAGCCATATAAAAGAGGTCGTATCCAGTGATGACTTTGCCTAGGTCAGCATGTTCCAGGTTCTATACCAGGAGACTACTGATTTTTGCTCTTCCTCCTCTTTGTGTTTTGTTCTGCACCAGAAGGTCACCAAATTCTCAAGAGAAAGTTTCCAGGAGAGGATGGTACACTCCAATGACCCAGACAGACTCAAGTAATTTGGGTGCTTCTACATGTGGAAGCCAAAATACATTGAAATACGTCCAGGCTACCAGTGTCTTAGTGTCAGGGTTCACTCCATAGACTCCCATCCAGACACATCCTAAGGCCCTAGGAAGATAGCCCGATCCCCCAACAATACTCTTATTGGCCAAAATGTTAGAGTGTTGGCCTTATTCTCTTCCTCCTCCCAGAGGTAGCTCCCTAAAGAGGAATCCCCACTGGCCCTGGTGGTGATGACCCCAAAGGGATCTAAGCTAGAGCTGCCAGTCACAAAGCCTCCTTTCCATCCTCCCTCTTCCTTGTGTGGAGAGCTGTGGAAGAAATGCATCAGTTTTGTCTGCATCCCCTTGAATTGAAATAGGTGCTACTCTGAATCTGTGCCTAGCAGCAATCTTTCCAGCAAGTCAAAATTCTCTAGAGTTGGCACAGGGCTCCTGATCTGGTTCTCAAAGGACTCAGCTCCCACTCCCTGGCCAGAATCACAAGCCTCTCTTGCACCAACCAAAGTGTAGAAATACGCACAACACCACTAAACACTTACTCAGCTGATTTCCATTTTTGCCCAGAGTCTCACCAAATCCTGTTTCTTCAGAAGTGTTCAAGTTTGGATTTGGTCCATTTCAGAAAAGTCCAACTTTGATAATTATTTGGACTGCTCTTGAATCAAATTAATCCCATTCCAGTTTGGATTTGGGGTTTGGCCAAATTCAAAGCAGACCACTAATACAGCTCCTACCATTGAAAAGTGGCTTCGTTGCCACTTTAGTGGCACAGGAAAAGAAACAAGCTTGAATCTTAAGAGCTCCAAGCTCAGTATTCTTAAGGTAACTGCTCATATTCTCAAGATAGTCACTCTCTTCTTACATCTATTGATTAGGCGCAACCTATTTCCATATGCAGTGAGAGTTGCCAACCTGGTTCATACAAGAGGGCGAAGGAGGGGGAGCCATTTTGTTGCTATGATTGCATTCCATGTCCAGAAGGAAAGATTTCAGACCAGGAGGGTAAGAGAGAGAGAATATGAAGCTGTGCATTGAAATGGCTAAAATCCAGAGGAATGTGGGTACAGAAATAATGTATGAATAGGTGCTAATTTTCTTTGGTTTTTGAAATGTATGTAAGCCATTTTTCCTGGCCACAAGAATTTGTGGTGGTGATTATCTTTTCAAATGTTTTTGTATTGCTGTGTACCCATTGGTGTATATTGTCTGATAGAAAAACAATTTATTAAACTGTCTGCTGTCATTTTGGTAGCTAACAGCCATAATTTATGCAACTATCACTTTGGCATTTGACTTTGGCTGTGTTTTTTATTTACTTTGAGTATTCCTTGAAATTCATTAAGCTGCTTCAGCAATTCAGAACGTGGTGGCTTGGTCTGAATGTTTTCCCCAGGAGGTATAAATCAGCAAAATGAAGGATTTCAGGCTTCAGATACTACAGGAAATGTATGACTGATTATTTCTTGCAGTCAACAATATCTGCAAAACAAAATTGTGATTCATTTATTTATTCCACTTATATTCCTCTATACTAGTCTGAAGATCCTCTGAGTGGACATTTATATAATTTGCTACATAAATGTCAGATCAGCATGAAGCGGTCACTTTCCGTAATAGATTTTAGGTGCCTAGTTTGCTACTTATTTGCTGGAAGTTTCAGTGAAAAGGAGATTAAGAAACCTTAAGTTACCTTGCTTTTGTGCTCCACAATGGGTCCTTTGTTGTGTTGGGAGGAGTCACAAAAGACCACAGAGGCTTTTCCAATTCAATCATTGAGCATTTCCATCTAAGGAATGGTTGACTCAGAGAAAGAATTTTGTAAAAGGAAAAAAGTTTTTTTTTTTTTAACAAATGTTGTTATTTTCTCTACAAATCTAAAACTGAAACAATTATTCCCAAGACAACGGACATACATCTTACTCTTTTTTACAATCAATAGCCATATTCAATTCTATGTATAGTCTCTTTTCTCTAACCAATAATAAAAAGAGTTCCAAGTTTGATGTATCTTCCTTCTCCTTCAAAGACAAATTCAATCTGTCCATTTCCATGCAATCCAAAATCTTTTTTATAATCAACTCTTTGGTAGGTGGCTCTTCATTCCTCCAGTGTTGGGCAAATGCAATCCTCGCCGTGGTAATTACATGTAAGATAGGATATATACATTGTTTATCAAAGTCATCAGGAATAATGCCTAATAGAAAAACTTCAGGTTTAACTATTAAAGGTTTTTGTAGCATTTCCTCAAACCATTTATGTATTTTAACCCAGTATTTTTTTTGCCTTTACACAAGTCCACCACATATGATAAAAAGTACCAGGTTTGTTTTTACATTTCCAACATCTATTTGACATTTTTGGGAACATTTTTGCTTATCTATTTGGCAATAATACCATCTGTAAAACATTTTATAAAGGTTTTCCTTATATGAGGTTGCTAAGGGTATCTTAATACTTCTTTCCCACAGCTTTTGCCATTTCTGTAACTCAATATTATATCCAAAATTTTGTGCCCATGGCATCAGAGTTTCCTTAACTTGTTCATCTTCCATCTTCATGTCCAAAAGAAAATTATACAATCTTTTAATCATTTTTTATCTGATTTTAAAATCATTTGATCAAATGTTGTTAGTTCCTTATAAAAACCATACATTCTATAGTCTTTAGTATATCTCGATTGTATTTGAACCTTGTGCCACCAAGAAAGATCGATACCCTGCTCCTGTGGTTCTTGATTGCGTTTCAATTTTCCATCATTATCTAAAATATCATCATATCTCACAATCATATTTAAATTCAATGCATTTGGATATGTAAGATCTTCCATAGGAGAAAGCCATCTCGGCAACTTGGTATAAAGCTTTGTCTTTAGCTTTTCCCAAACAGACATCAATGAATTTCTAATATAATGATTTAAGAAATAGTCATGTGTCTTACACTTCTCATATCACATAAAAGCATGCCATCCCATTTGTAAGTCATGTCCTTCAAGATATAAAATTCTCTTATTTCTTAAAGTTATCCATTCTTTTAACCACATTAAAATGCAAGCTTGATAATACTGCATCCAATCAGGAAGGCCAAAGCCCCCATTCCTTTTAGCCTCCTGGAGCATTTTTAATTCAATCCTTGATTTCTTCTTTTGCCATATAAATTTCAAAACTTGGGTATTTAAATCATCAAAAACTTTTTTCAATTTTTATAGGAATTGTTTGAAATAGAAACAAAAGCTTTGCTAATGTATTCATTTAAGCTATTGCTATTCTTCCCAGCAGTGATAATTGCAAATTAGCCCATTTTTCTAAATCACTCTTAATCTCCTTGCGTGATTTAACATAGTTATCTTATTTCAATGTAGTGCATTTAGCTGTAAGAGAAATTCCCAAATATTTAACCTTTTTAATTATTTGAAGGTCTACTTGCTCCAACAAGTTTGTTTTTTGCTCCAATGTAAGATTTTTCATAAACAGTTTAGTATTCTCTATTTATTTTCATCCTGGTAATTTCACCATAGTCTTCTATTTTTTAAGTTTAGGAATCATTACCAAAGGATCTTCTAAGATAAAAACTAGGTCATCTGCAAATGCTTGAAGGTTATAGCTTTCATTTCTGATTCTGACTCCTTTAATATCTGTATCTTCTCTTAACATTTCTGTTTAAAACTTCTAGAATCAATATAAATAACAATGGTGATAAAGAATATCCTTATCTTGTGCCCTTTTGAATGTCTATAGTGTTTGTAAATTCTCCATTGATTATTATCCTAGCAGTATGTTTTTGGTAAATACTTGATATTGAATTAATAAATTTTCCACCAAATTCCATTTGTAGTAATTGTTGTTTCATGAATTGCCAATTAAGATTAACAAAGGCCTTCTGTGCATCTAAAAACAATAGTGCCATTGATTTTTCAGAATGGATTTCATAGTATTCTAAGACATCCAAGATAATTCTCACATTGTTTCTAATTTGTCTCTTAGGTAATAAAAACATTTTGATCTGCATGTATAAATCTATTAAGTATTTCTTCAGTCTTTCTGCCATTACAGAGGCAAAAATGTTATAATCCACATTTAGAAATGATATAGGTCTATAGTTTGAATTTGTGTCAAGTCCATATCTTCTTTTGGAATTAATGTAAAATTTGCCTCAATCCAGGTATTTGGTATTTTAGCATCTAACAATACAGCATTGCATATATCCTTTAGAGGTGTATATAAAATTCCTTCAAAAGATTTATAATACTCTGTTGGTAGTCCATCCAGGCCAGGGGTTTTATAATTCTTTTGCCTCTTGATTGCCTCAATTACTTCTGTCATTGTTATTTCCTCATTTAATATTTTTTGATATTTCTCTGGCAGTTTTAGTAGATTTTCCTTTTGAATATATTCATAAACCTTCTCAATTGATATTTCTTTAGCTTGGTGTAGCTTTGTAAAGAAATCTTCTACTATTTTCTTAATTGACACACTTTGTACCTGTAGTTGTCCTTCTCCATCTTTCAACTTAAATATTAATCTCTTTCCTTCTTTAATAGGCTAACCATCTCCCTCGTTTGTTAGCATTTTCAAAGAATTTCTGTTGGGTCAATTTCATTTGTTTAGCTAGTTCATTTATATGTAAGAGATTCAATTTATGTTTTAGAGTGTTCATATGTAACTTGAGGTCCTTTTTTGATGAGTCTTCTTGTAACTCCTGTTCAAGCTTCGACAGCTCATCTATTAGTTTAAGTTGTTCTTGTTTTCTCATTTTATTTATTTTTGTTGAATAGGTTATAATCAACCCTCTAACATATGCTTTAGCAGTATCCCAGGCATTTTGTAGAGCAGTTTCTTCAACATTATTTTCTTGTAAAAGAATTAATTCCTTTGTTATTTCTTCTTTAAAGTTTTTATCTTTTAATAAAATATTGAATGTCCATCTAGGTGTTTTTATTGTTCCTTTCAAGGTCATGGTTATAGGTTTGTGGTCAGCCCAGACATTTGTATCTATTTCAGCTTCTAACAAATCTGGAATTAAATCTGGGGTTATCCAAATCATATCAATTCTAGACCATGTCCTATGTCTGTTCAAGTAGAAAGACTACTTGGCAAAAGTTGTGTTTTTGTGTCTCCAGACATCTGTTAGTCTAAATTCCTCTAATATATTAAAGAAGGACTTTGGAAGTATTCTCCTTCCTTTCTTCCCATTAATGTCACTCTTGTGATCTATTTTTGTCAACAATTGCACTAAAGTCTCCCATTAAACACAAAGTTTGATACTCAGTTTGTAAGAGTAAAATATGTAGTTTTTGGTAAAAAGCTTCTTGGTGGTCATTTGGTGCATAGATCGCCACTAGAAGCACCATTTTGTGTTTTATTGTTACTTCAACCAGTAGAATTCTACCATTTTCATATGAAATAATATACTTAGGATCCAATTTTTCTTTAATATATAAAGCCAAACCATTTTTTTTAATGGGCGGCAGATATAAATAACTTGCCAAATTTTGGACTTTCCAAGTTTGTGATGTTGTCTTTTTATGTGTGTTTTTTGTAAACAAATTACATCTAATTTCAGTTTTTGAAGTTGAGAAAAATTCCTTTTCCTCTTAGAGGGTGAGTTTGATCCATCTATGTTCAAAGAAAATAATTTGATTCTTCTATTTTAAGAGCAATATATGTATGTATGTATTTGGGTTTCACACTTCTACTTTTTATCTTTTCTTTTGGATCCAATAACTGTTCATACTCTTGTTGGTCTGTAGGTGCTATTTCTTCTTCTTCTGGGTGGTAAGTTGTTGCAGCTATTGCCTCGCCATTTTTCCTTCTTTCCTTTTCTTCATTCTGCTCTTTATCTTCAAATGAACTTCTTAATTTTTCATAAAATTCTTGGGCCTTTAGGATTGAATCCAGTCTAAATCTTGTGGAATTCCAAGTAAAAAATATCCCTTTTGGTGTTATCCATGTGAACATAATTCCTTTCTTTATCAACTTGGAAATGAGAAATTGACACTTCTTTTGTCCTTCTCTGACTCTCCATGGTATTTGTTTCAAAATAATTAAATCATGTTCATCATCAAATTTTAATGGTCTATCATGTGAAGCTCTGAGGACATGATCTCTTACAGATCTTTTTGTAAATTTAACATGAACTTCCCTTGCAAGTTTATGCCTTCTTCCATAGCTTCAGTTAACTCTATAAAGCCGGTCAATCTCTTTGTCAATCTCTTCCTTTTCCAAGTCAAGAACATCTGCTAACATGGTGTTTATTAAGTTACTTAGGTTTTCATTTTTTGCCTCTGGTATATTCTGAAATCTTAGGTAATTAGACACCTTCTCCATCTCCAGTATAGCAACTGAATCCCATGGTGACTTATTTGTTTGTGTTAATTGTTGCATTTCTTTATCCATCTTTTCAGTTTTCTTAGCAATATCATCAGTCTTCTTTTCCATTTCATGTATTTTTTGTTCATTTTGTCCTATTTTGAGTCGAATGTCTGTAAGTTGATTATTCATGTCCAAAACATGACTATCTAGTTTATCCAATCTTTCATTTTGTTCCGAGGCCAATTTTTGAATGGCATTTTTAATAGACTCTTGTGACGCTTGCATTGCCGAGAGTGTCATCTGTAAATCTGTTTGATATTTTTCCAAATCCACAGTTTTTGATTGATGTATTGGACTTTGTGATGCAGACATGGGTGCCGATGATGATGATGCATGAATTCTTTTCATGATGAAAATATAAAGTATTAGGAAAATTTATTGAAATAGCCTCTTATAATGCTAAATGGACACGAGGTGGAATCAGAGTCACAAAAAAAAATAGACAATGTACCTGTTATAAGATAAAATGGCCACACGGTGGCAACAAAGGGTTATTGTTATAACAAAAGAAATAGTTTCACTTTCATGCGTGAACTCCAGAAATGATCAGATCACCATGTTGTCTCTGAAAGAGGTATACAGAAACAAAACAAAGAGAAATCTTTTTTTACCGATTAATGTACAGTAAGCTCAAATTTGATTCTTTGCCCTTGGGGAGATTAAACAGAAATAGTCTCTTCTTTTCCAAGTCTCAAATTTCCCCAGTTTCACTTAATCTCCCCTAGCTTTGTCACTGCTTAAACTCTGCAGGGGGGAGTTTCCCCCCTCCATTGGAAAGGGGTTTTTATTTAGGTTGGTGCTTGTTTCAGAAGTTCTTTTAAGGGCAATATATTGAGAAAATTAATTGTGCACCCAGCGGATCCGATGTCCACTTTTAAGTTTTCATTCTTCGCTATTAAGTCAGTGCCGACAGCTAGCGAAGGGGAGCACCCCTCTCATTCCATTCACTGAGAATCCATGAGCTTCTCCCAGCGGGTGGGGGACCACTGCCCCCCACATACCAGAAGTCTACTCAGACCTCTAGTCCCTGCCCCAACAGGGCTTAGATGGGCCTCCCAAGGCCCACTGTAGAAAGGATTTCGGTACAAAGTAGGGAGCTCCCATTCTTTGCTGCCGATCATACTGTGACATCAACCAGAAGTTGTAAAAGGAAAAGAAGTTTGAAGGATAACCAAAAGCTACAAGTACCCCAACATGCTGTATGTGCTAAATTTGGCTTTATTGAAGCAGCCAGGCAACTCTGTGGCAAGGACCATTTTTTTTACTCTCCTGGATCACGTCATGATATAGAGGCATGGCCACCCTCATCCATGCATGAATGTTAAGTGCTTCCAAGCTAGGATGAAATAGAACTGCTCTTGTGGCTGGATAAGCAAGGTCAGAGGAACTAGAGGAGTTTCTCTTTTCAGGGAATGCACTGATTCCACGTTGGTTATAGCTCATGTAGGATGAGACTTGGGATGTTAAAATGCTCATTTCTTATACCTTCCTCTCAGATATTTTTGTCATAATGACCTATGATTAGAAGTAATGAATTCATTGAATTTTAAAACATTTTGGTGAGATTACTGCAATTTATGTGAAACTGAAACCACACATTTGACTTTTTATCCAGATCTGAATGACTGTTCTACATGTGCAGATGGACATTTTCCAAACAAACAACAGGACATTTGTATTAAGAAGACTGTGACCTTCTTGTCTTATGAAGAATGTTTGGGGATCAGTTTAGTCTGCTCTGCAATTTTGTTTTCTTTGGTGACTGCTCTGGTGCTGGGAATCTTTTTGAAGCACCACGACACTCCCATCGTCAAAGCCAACAACCGGGAACTCACATATGCTCTCCTTATTTCCATCCTGCTCTGCTTCCTCTCTGTGCTGCTCTTCATTGGACACCCAGAGAAGGTGAAATGTCTTCTCAGACAACCAGCTTTTGGCATCATCTTCTCAGTGGTTCTTTCTTGTGTCCTAGCAAAAACCATCACGGTGGTTTTGGCCTTCATGGCCACCAAACCTGGATCCAGGGCCAGAAAGTGGGTGGGGAGAAAGGTTACCTACTCCATCGTCCTTTCTTGCTCCCTCATTCAAACAGGCATCTGCACTGTGTGGCTGGCAACCTCTCCTCCATTCCCAGATGTGGACATGCACTCAGTGCCTGAAACCATTACTCTGGGCTGCAATGAGGGATCGGTGACTATGTTTTACTGTATCCTGGGCTTCATGGGCTTTCTGGCCAGTGTGAGTTTCAGCGTGGCTTTCCTTGCCCGAAAGCTGCCTGACAGCTTCAATGAAGCCAAGTTCATCACGTTCAGCTTGCTGGTCTTCTGCAGTGTCTGGCTGTCTTTTGTTCCCACCTACCTGAGCACCAAGGGCAAATACATGGTAGCTGTGGAGATCTTCTCGATTTTAGCCTCCAGTGCAGGATTGCTGACCTGCATCTTTTCCCCCAAATGTTACATTATTGTATTGGAGCCCGAGCTGAATGACAGGCAGAAGTTGTTGAGAAGGAAATGAACAAAATAGGAGCATGTTGTTGCAGTTTGATAACCCAAACCTGACTGCTTTAGTACTTTAGCATTAAATTGTCTTTCGTACCCTATCAAGTGTTTGACTAGTTTAGGAGGCTGGCCAGTGTCATCATTCTTTCTGGCTACTTTGTCTAAAAAGGCTTCTGCACTGTGTGGCTGGCAACCTCTCCTCCATCCCCAGATGCTGACATGAACTCAGTGACTGAAGAAATTGTTTTGGAATGTAAGAAGGGCTCTGCAACTATTTTTTACCCAAGTGCTGGCCTGTATGGGCTTCCTCACTTTTGTCAGTGTCTGTGGTGCTTTTCTCACCAGGAAGCTGTCTGACATATTCAACGAAGTTAGGTTCACCACCTTCCATATGTTGGTGTTTTGCGGTGTTTGGTTCTCCTTTGTTTCATTCTAGCAGAGTTCCAAGGGAAATACATGGCAGCTGTGGAGAATTACTCCATCTTAGTCCCTAGTGCCAGTTTGCTGGCTTTCACCTGTCTCTCCAGATGTTATAGTATTACACTGTGTTCCAGAGTAAAAAAACAGCTTCTTGATCACTACCTGGGGTTTTGGGCTTTTTTGGTAGTTTTTTTGTTGCTAACGTTACTTTTATTACTATTTTTCAGCAAAATTAATATAGATGTGAAAGAAGTGTAGGTCTCACAGAAACTCTTTCTATTTCACCATGCCAAACTCTCAGCAGACTCACCATTTTCCTAAGCTGATTATTATTACGATCCCTTTTCATTATGGATTAGGTACAGTCTGTACTGTACCTAGTGAGAGTTGTTACCCTGGGTCAAGCAAAAGGTGAAGCATGGGGAGCCATTTTTCTGCTAAGATTGCATCCCTAATCCAGAAGGGAAGATTTGAGACCGGAAGTGTAAGACACATACTGCATGGACTGCTCCGAAAATTTGAGTGAACATTCAGATGGTTATATATGGTTGCTATTTTGGCCATCTTTTCTCCCACTGACATGAATGACTGTCATAACTGCATAGACAAAGGAACTGAAACCAAAACCATTCCTCATGATTTTTGTATAATCATATTTGTTACGTGCATGATACACACAGACTGTTTCAGAATCAGCATACGCTTTTTTCACATTTTCATTTTCTATGATCATGGCTCTGGTGCTAGGAATATTTAGAAATCACCAAAGCACTCCCATGGTCAAAGCCAACAAGTGGAACCTCACCTACACTCTTTATCTCCCTGCTTTTCTGCTTCCTTTGTCCACTTCTGTTCATTGGCTATCCTGGAAAGGTGATATGTCTTCCCCAACAATATTGCAGCAACCACACAAAAATTCAGATTAAGGCAGATCCAGCTTTTATTGGAGCAGGAATATAGTTCTGTTTTAAGAAGCTGTATCTTTATTGGGAGGGAAACCTTAGGGGAACACCATCCCCCATAATTCCACCTGTACTTTTAAGAATGAGACAGAAAAGAGACTGCCCTCTATGTAAATGTTCAACAAAACAGCAAAACTACTATATACACTGGCTAAGATTGAACATGGTTTAAATGGTAGGTGGCACATTCATTTAACTAGGTCTAAGAAGTATTCCAGGGAAAAACCTTATCAGCTGTGCATGCTGCTTTACTCTTGTCAAAGACGTCATTCTGGTTTAGGTTTCTACTCTTTGTTTTAGTCTTGATCAAAATACATCCCACAAAGCTTGTATATATATCTATTCATGTCATGTAACCAAGATTTTTGGGGGTAGGACAGGGAATTGTTCCCACAGCAGGAGAGGAGAATGAAATTCCCTTCCATACATGGCTGTTAATGCATTTCCAGGAATTTAGTGTGAGTGAAAAGATTCCATTGACAGGGGTAGGGAAAATATTACAATGCAAATGGCTGCACAGGAAAGATTAAGCTTCCCTACCTTTACACTGTGTTCCCAAGCCAAATCGGGGTGATGTACACTGAGTGCAGAGCAAACCAAAAATTCCAGTGGGCTTCACAATGAATGCTGTGTTTAGCCTTTAGTTCCATTCTGATGAAACTTTCCCAATTCATTCATACAACTAATACAAATACTATGCTCCACATCAAGTATGAAAAACAACACTTGTTTTCAACTTCAGCATTTGTGATGTCAAATTGCTATTCTCTCCTTTAATTGTCTAAAGGACAGTTCTGTTACAACCCAAGCTCCCTGCAGATTTCTTACCAACAAAACAACTCCATTAGGCTCTGAAGGACTGTGGCAATATATACAAGGATCTTCAATCATAAGGATAAGTAAGGTTGGTCAGTGTTCTGAAGAAGCCTACATTTGTTATCTCAGTGCTCTGCATGGGAACAAGAGGATTTCCATGAAGAGCATTTTTTTCCCCTTCTACTCAGCATGAGGGAATTAGGAGTGGTCTTGATGAGCTTGCTTCTCCAAATAGCTATGAGCCACACCCTCCACTGCATGAGTATCCACAGTTGGGAGATCTCATGATTGGTGCCATTGCTTCTCTGTCCTTCATCATTCCTGATCCATTAACCTTCACTGTAGAACCCCCACTAGCTTTGCATGATGAACTTGCGTAAGAAGTTAATATTTTCTTTTAGGGTCTGTCCTTTTTATTTATTGATTTTTATTTATCCATCTGTTTGTCACCAGAAATTTTCCTAAGATATACAACCTCTGAACACTGGTTTGGGATGTAGGGAAATATCATACTATTTAGGGGATGTGGAAACTTTTTTGCACAAGTTTCCACAGAATTACTTCTTTTCCTCTTATTAGCACTGTTCATTCACCTCTGCCTTTTTGCTCCACCTTTCTTATGGAAACTGCATATGGCAAGTATTCCAGGAATTGGATCACCTTTTTTGGAGAAGTAGAATTCTCCTGCCATTCCTTCCACAACACCTCCACCAGACCCCCTCCTGAATGTGCTGATCTGTGGTTGGATGGACAGGGAGGAAACCCAAAATCTGATGAAGACCATGAGTGAAGCTCTTCCTCTCATAGATGTTCCTTGCTTTCAGTGAAGGCAGATACTGGATCCATCCCAGAACAAATGTTCTCTGTTAGAATTGGAAGCGATTTCATTTCAGGGATCCTTGTCACTTGGATGGGGTTGTATTCAGTGTGTTGCACTCTGTGCTTTTCCCCATCACAATAATTTTAATTATTTTCATGTACCTAAAAGGTGTTCCTCCTAAGCAGGACTATAATATGAAGAGAAATTGTTTCTTCTAATCTCCTAAATCCCAATGGCTGAAAGTGTCCATCTAGATACAATGTAGGGCATTCCTCTCCCACCATGAACAGGATTCCCATAAGCCCCTTCATTGGGAAGTGATGAGCCAGGGCAACAGGGGTGATAGGATCGTGGCATTATACCCAGACACATTTCACTTGAGGGAAGCTTCACTGAAATCTGTTGAATTCTCTTTGGGTTAACCAGCATAGGATCACACTATTCAATTCCTTGACCATGAGAAAGTCCATGGACTGGTGTATTCCGAAGAGAAATATGATGATGCAAAAAGCAGTGTGAGCTGCTTATAAAATTCTGTGTGAGGAACATTGTAATACAGGAGCTGACTTTGTTGCTTCTAGTGTGGTGCCAAAGAATTACCAACATATCCTGGCCTTGACATTTGCAGTGCAGGAGATCAATGACAACACCCTCCTCTTACCCAACCTCACCTTGGGGTTTCACATCTATGACAGCTACTTCACGGCCAAGTGGACCTATCAAGCCACCTTGCCACTGATATGTGCAGCAGGGAGATTAGTCCCAAACTACAAATGCTATCTCAAACAACATTTGATAGCAGTCATTGGAGGACTGGATGCCAAATCCTCCCTTCACATTGCAACTCTCTTGGATATCTACAAGATTCCACAGGTGAGGACCATGTCTTTTGATGAATATGAGGAATTGAAGTCTAACATTTTCTTCATGTTCCCATTGTTCCTTCATTTGTGCTTTTGTGCCTGGGAGATGGAGATCTGTTTATTGGAAGTATACCCTGACTGTATCGTTTGGATGAGCAAGAACATCGGAGATAAAGAAAACAGTGTGAGGAGGGGGATATTTCTGATGTGGATCTAAGACAGGGGAATCTAGGCAGAGATTGAGACCACAATCACAATCACTTAAACATTCTGTTCCATATTGAAATGTGACAGATGCTCCTCATTTATCTTGCTCTTTGCTCCAGCTGTCCATAGGCAGAGTAGAAAAAAATGGAGCGCTCCATTTCTTTCTCCTTGTGTACCAGGCCCTGCATTCATCACCAGTCTGGATCATGAACCATCTGAGGGGAAGGCAAAGCATGTTGGGGACTGAAGTGGAGACACTGAAGGGAGGAAGGTGTTAGCACTCTTCTGAACTTAACACTGATTCAGGAAATAAACATCATTATTTTCAGTGGTTTTGGAGATATATGTATCGCAGGAGGGAGGAGACTGCCAATTTTATATCGATCATAGCAGTCGTGCCCAAACATTTTGGCCCCCTGGATATATTCATGAATCTGAGAAAATCCTGTGAGCACCACCAAAAATGTCTAAATAATTGGCTGTTTTAATTTCTCCCTTTTTCATCTACAAATCTTAAGCTGAGCCATATTCAGGAAATTTTTGGTTTGTCCCTTTTGGATGCTGCAATGTCTCCTCAATAATGAATCACCTAGATTGGTTGTTTGCTCATGGTTCTAGGCAAGGAATATATCTTGGAAAAAGCTGCATTAGCAATTTGTAGTCATTGCTTTTTATGTGCAGGAGGAGATTATGACACATGCAGATTTCCCACAGAATTATCTTAATATTTATTGGATCTTACATTGTTATTAACTAAGTACATTATTTCATGGAAACTAACCTATGGATGAAAAGGATAGTCTGTGCTCCCTTCCTGGCTAACAGACTGATACTATATAACTGAGCTGGGGTTGGGGAACACTAATCCATCTGGCAAGGACTATGGACATTATAGTATTTTGTTGTCTGAATAGGACAAGGGGTACAG